TTATTTTTCTGGCATGATATAGGCTGGTCCATATTCCTTTACATTAACTACTAACCAATGTTAGATCGTCAAGCTTCCATATTTTTGAAACAATAAAATTCCCCTCTACTAAGATCTCTCCCAGCCAGAACTAATTGTGTATATTTGATCTTGCTGCTATATGATTCTGAGGAAGTAAAAATGCTAAATATTGAATTCTGCCATTTATGTCATAACTAAATTTCGGAAGTCTTAACGCTTCCAAGTAAATAAGACTGGTTGGGGAAAAAGGAACTTTCATTATTATTGAAGGACTCCCGATAGGGCTTATTTTAGCTCCCTTAACTTAATCGTAGATATGAAGTCTATGATGGTGTTATCCTAGAGTTAATGGAGGTATCTCATTAACTGTATGGATTTTGTTTGACCTTGTGTTAGCAACTTGGCCAGGGTGAAAATTCCATCTTGTTAATACAATAGGATGAATATATTGCATAATATTTTAACATCATGCAGTCCGACAGGAATGAGAGTAAGCATCCTAATTGATGTGTGCAAGTCTGAACATTGAGCAAGTACGAAATTAGTCGAACTTAGAATATTTTAATCTTTATCACCAGCAACCAGTAAAAGAGTAGGCTTATTTTTCTTAAATCTTGTTCGATTGCTTTTATTGAAAAATTACACTTTTCTTTATTACCTCATCCTGGACTAAAACCATATACTAAAAAACAGTTTTGTATAACATTTCGCCATATATGTCAAACACTTACAATATATTTACACGAAAATCCTTAGCATTATTTACATGGTTCGGATTGGCCAAATATCTTATTAAACCAATCAGCTTGCCTTAATTTTTGCGCGGCGTTTTTCTCGGTTCACGCATCTCTCGTTCTTTCTTTCATGAATCTCTACGTGTGGCCCGGTGTGGATGGAATAACATCATTTGACTCAGATTCGTTGTTAATATTGGTATGGATTTGTAATTGGCATTTTGTTTCTCAAGACATACATTGGCCTTGCAAAGGCTCCAATGAACATATACGGCAATGTCGTTGGAAGTTCCACATCTCTAGATAATTTGCCATTGTTAGCCCATGATAACAGCAAGGTTACCGGCGTCAAAGATATTCTAACATATTTAAGGAAAGAGGTATATTGTATTTTTATTTATCTGTTAGAATTATGGTCTGGAGTACCAGCTTTCTGATTCAGACACAATAAAGATGGCCGCATTGATAGGAAATATAGAATCCTGTTTGCTTCCTGCAATGAAGTACTTTTTGTGGAGTGAGCCTAATGTTTACTCGATGTATACTCGCCGTATTTACTCCCATGATTTTAATTGGATTTATGGTGCTTATCGACTATATCAATGGAAATCACGGTACACTCGTGAAGCACGATATTCTCAACTTGATAATTGCTATAGAGAAGCGACTGATATTAAATTGGTTCGAAATTCGGTAAATTCATACAGTGTCTTGTATTCCTGTCTTATGCATTAGCAAATATTGTACCCCCAAGAATACTATTTTTAACTAACTGCTCCTTGTATACAGAAATATCCAAGCCAGACAAGCCATCAAGGTGCATTAATGATTGTACTACGATGTGCTTAAGGTCGGAGGGAATTTATTGACCTTGTGGTTATACCCTCATTAGATGTCAAAATATTGGTCACAATGAGCAAAGATTGACTGATGAAGTTGCAATGCTGAGATGCTTTTCATGAAACTATTTCGCTCAATTTTATATCCCAAGGGCCTTTTTGCTCATTGTCCAATCGTTATTTCTTTCGATCTAAATGGGTAGCATCAAAAGGCACATTTTGACTAAATATGCACCTGATATAAGTGGGTTATGAGGATAAGCATTTGTAGTACATAGTTAAATTACGTATATATTGTGAATCATTGACTCTTATAATTTACTTTGAGCGAAGCTGATCGAGGTCGAAGCCTTTCGGATAGCAGGTTTACATATTTGAAAATTCAATTATTCCTCCCAGCTGTTTTTCGTTTTTAATGGCATCGAAAGGATGACCCGGCTCACTTACAAAGGGTTGCCATTATGTACCATTTAATGATATATAAACCGAGAGCTATTATA